CGACCGTCCAGCTTGAACTCGTCCTTGCTGCTCTTGTTCTCCCGCTGCCGCTGCTCCATGCGGGCCAAAATCTTCGCGCTGACCATGCTGATCTCGTCCACGATCACCCACCTCCTGAAGCGGATGCCCTGAACGATAGCGTTGTCTCCCTCGGTCGGCTGCCCATTCTTGTTGAAGCCGTAGGCCCTGTGTATGTTCTGGCCTCGGACGTCCGCCGCGTTCACTGCCTGGAGCGCCACCACCTCGTACTCGTGGCCCTGGGTGTACTGGAGCAAGTCTTCGAAGAGCTCGCGGAGGAATTGCAGGATGTGGGACTTGCCGACGCCGGGCGGCCCGTGGAGCAACCAGACCAAAGGCTCCGAGGTCTTCCGGATGGACTCCTCGGGCTTGATGAGGTTCAGCTCCACCATGACTCTGTCCACGACGAGTTCCAGGAACTCGTGCTGCTTGGCATTCACGGCCCCGCGCACACGGTCGCTGTGGAGCCAGTCCAGGAGCTTGGCGGCGGTCACGGGCTCCTGGGCCTGCACCTCCGGGCTTCGCCGGTCCCTGCGTCGTGTAGTTCGTCTATCCTGTCCTTTCTCGCCCTTGACCCGCGAATCGATGGCGGCTTGTCTCACCTGCTGATGGTCCGTCACGGGCTCTTTGGCGGACAGCTCGCGGAACCTGTTGCTGGCCTCCGGGTCGGGTCCACCTCCATTGTCTCCCTCCAGCCAAATGGCTTGCGACAGCGCGAACATCTTCTTGGTGCGGTCGGCGTGCGTCTGCACTTCGTTGCCGGCGTTGCCAGGTTCCCCTCGAACGTGCGTTTCCATCGCCAGCATGATGTCGTCCTGCAGGCACCGATGCAAGCTTAGAACCTAAAGTCAAATTCAACGGCAATGCTCGTTGCAAACATGCTTGAATTCCTGGGCTTGCCCGGTCCTGGTCGAAGAAGCAGGGCACGTCCTCCAAGTCTTCGTTGTCGCTGTTGGCCTCCAGCTCCGCGCCGGGCCGGAGCTCCCGCGGCAGGCAGTGGACGAAGCAGAACTGGGCGGCGTAGCGCTTCACGGACTCTGTGGGGAAGCCGCGCCGGCCCAGCCAGAGCCGCGCGGCCTGGAGCCAGTCCGTAGCCCCCTGGTCGCGAGCAGACAGGTCTCCGACGAAGGCCACGAGGTCGTCCTGGGCATCTCGGCGATCATTCACCCAAGGGCGAAAGAGCAGAAGGAGCTTCATGGCCTGGTCTTCCGCAGTTTGGTTGCTGCCCTGCGCACCGAAGAGCACCGGCACGTATGGTCGCTTGCGCGGCACCATGACCCAGCTGTGCTTGAAAGCCTGGGCGAGCTCGGGTTCGCCGAAGGGGATCCACTCCTCGCCGGGGCGCGGCTCCCGAATGCGATAATCGGCGCCCGGCAAGAGCTTGGCGCGGTAGCGATGCCAGCGCACTTTCTCCTTGCCCGTGTCCGTCAATTCAGCTTCGTGGCGGGTCGGCGGCCGCTGCTCCCCGTCGTCGTTCAAGTGGATGGTGTAGGGATGGGTGGCTTTCTTGACTTCGAAGTGCACGGCGAACTCGTAGGCCGACAGCTCGTGAACCCGCGGATCTCGTCCTCGGGAGCCGTAGAGCGTCCAGAACGGACAGTGTCTGACCGCTTGCTTTTGCTGCGTGTTTCTCCACTTGGGTTGTGCGGTCCAGCGCTGCGGCTCTACAGGCCAGGGTTCCGCATCGGCGGCTGCCTGCAGCAGGTTCAAGCCGTACTGAAGCGGAAGGCTTGTGACTGGCGCGGTGCGGATGGACTCCGCTTCCACGGGGTTGCCGTGCTTGTTCCGCGTGAGGAGGT